CCAACACCTACAAACAATTAACATGATAGAACAATTCAACTCACTAATTGAAGAACTACTTTCCCCATTACAACAAACACTATCACAAGATATCCAAAAGATAATCCGTTCTCAGATCAAATCAATCAAAATACTTCCACCAATCCTTCCAACCAACATCATGACCCAACTTCTCACCTCTCAATATTATTGCATGCAAACCATAAAAAACTACATGGGCCCAAGAGATAGCCAACACTACCCCTACTTCTTCATCACTGGATCAGCAGGAACAGGGAAATCCTATATCATAAACCTCATAATTAACGAACTAACAACCCGAAACAAAAAATATCTCCTAATGGCCCCAACAGGAGTAGCAGCCCAAAACATAGGGGGCCATACCATACATTCATCACTAAGAATTCACTCTAACGGATCATCATACCAAACTCTAGCATTCTCAGACCCGTCACTCTACCAAGAAATCAAGGACATAGACACAATAATAATCGACGAAATATCCATGGTTTCATCAAACCTATTCACATATATCTCCCAAACATTCTCTTACATACACCATAACCCCGAACCATTTGGAGGAACCAATATAATAGTAACCGGAGACCTCGCACAACTCCCCCCGATCGATAATCTACCCGTATTCAGATCCCCAATATGGAAGATATTCTACCCCCTATTCCTACGCGAACCACAAAGACAAAACCAAGACCCGACCTATTACAAACTACTTCAAAATATTAGATTAGGAAAAATAGACCCCTCCACCTGGAATACCCTACAGACAAAGCTAAACCAAACAATAAATGCACCAGCCGACAACCTAGATAAACTCATAAATACAACACACATAGTCGGATACAAAGAAATGGCAGAAAAAATCAACCGAACAATATGCAACATGTTGCCAATCAAAGAAAACACCTATATAATCTCAAATGCTATTGATATCATAAATCAAAAGACAAATGATAACAGCCATCTCGACAGATTAATAAAACAAAAAACAAACCTACCAAAAACGGTACAACTACAGACAGGCACTAGAGTCATGTTTCTAAACAATTCCGAATACAAACACAAGATATCCAATGGAACAATCGGAATAATCACTGATATAGACGTTGAATTACAAGAAATAAGATGCGCATTCTGCGTCCAAGGCGGAATAGTAGACATTGCGGTAAAAAAACATACCTCATCATTCATAATAAACGGAGCTCCCGCAAGTAGAACACAATACCCGCTGATCAACGCGTTCGCCATCACAGTCCATAAAACCCAAGGATTAATCCTACCCGACGTATCATTGAACCTAGACTCACAAATGTTTGAGAAAGGACAAGCGTACGTAGCACTGAGCAGATGCAACAACTGGAACAATATAAAAATAAGGTCACTAACCAGAGAAGCATTCGCCGTAGACAACGCCACGATAAAAGAATACGAAAGGCTAGAGCACAAAGCATCCGAACCACTACCTCTATCCAGACCACTTCAAACCAACATATAACCAACACACAAGCACAAACCACTTGAGCAATTAACAACACGACCGTAAAAACTTCCAGACCAAAGCCCGAAACTTTATTTCATCTATCTTCCTTTTATTTTCTTTTTCTAGAATAACTCACATCATCATATCTTATCAAATAACATAATAATAAAAATAAAATAAAATAAAACTACCTAAAAATTTAACATTAAAAACAGACAATTACTCCTCGTATTATTTCATCTATTTACTTTACTAACAAGAAAAAAATTTTCTCTCCGATTCTCCCAAATAAGACAAGATCTTCAGCTCAAGCGTCAAGCAAGCCCCAGCCCCCCACCTAGCGGCGACGAAGTCGCCGCACACAAAAAAATGGCTCGCCTCATCTAGTTTTATTGTAATATATTGCGGAATATTCAGATCCAAGAAATAAAATTTAGGTAATAACGACTTTTGCTAAGGAAAAAAAAAAACGTGACGAAAATTTCACTGACGGGGTCATCAGGAAAATCATAATTTCAAAGTCGAAATACAATGACTACGGATTTTTAGTTCTCTACTGACAACATTATTGGGGGAGTTTTAAATCCATCATCATTATCATCAACAATCGTCTCAAGTTCCCGGACCAAGGAATTAACCAAGCCCTATAGTTATCAATTAGAATAATAATCAGAAATTTCCAATGTCATAATTTGATAAAAATCAAACTTACCCTAACGTTCCATGCTACTCTTAAAGCAACTTTCAAGTAGTGATAGGTTGAAAATGTGAGTGGGAGGTTAAAAGATTTTAGATGATGCAGGAAGTATATCTCACGTCTTTCCATTAGATAGACTCGAACTTCTGTCATATATGACTGAACCATACAAGCGAAATGTATAAATACAACAGCCATTCATTAAAAATGATAGTAATAACACTGCAAGCATACCTGGATTCCTATTATATATGGCCGTAATCCAACCTTTCCAACCTGAAGAAGCTTTAATCTAGATCGTCGAGCATATCCTTCATTAATCTTGGAAAGTTGAATTCGTCAGAAGTAAGTTTAGCTAAATCATAGGAATAAGGTCCACCGCAAGCTAGTGCACAGGCAATCTCGTACTGCTCATTATTGCATAAAAGATCCACCTGATGGCTTCGTTCAAGCTGTTCGATGAGTATATCCTTATCATTATTTCGGCGACGTAGGGATGCCAGAACAGAAATCTCCCCCCTTTACAACATTGAGGGTAAGGGAAAAATTATTGCCTTATGTATCACAATAAATGAAGATAAATGGAGAGATCTGCAACTTACCATGGAACATAAAAATTGCCATCTAATTTCAGAACTCCTTGTATTAACGGGACTAAATAATCACCGATCCATTCTCGTTCATGACAATCATTTTGCAATGGATTTCGAAGTGATTCAAATACATCCAGACTACAATGGTAAAAACAACCAAAACCAATTAAGCACGTCACAATAAAATTGTAAATAATACGAGACCCATAAACATACAATTGTCCTGTTACTCGTTCAACCCAACGTTTTATTTTCTCCCAGTCGTTCTCTGCATAAGAAAACTAATTGTTGTATTCAGGAACAACAAAATTTCTTAGTTCATACCATTTTTTGCGAGCTTGTAATAGATCCATCTAAAATAAAAGAAAAAAATCAGAAGGGTCAACATGTGATAGATAAAGTTCATTTTCCCCTTACTTTTTGGCTAAATAGGTGAGAAATAAGAGACTCGATTTCATGATGATAAGATTTATGGACACATCAGGTCTCCTTTTAACCAACTTGATCCAATCCTCATTGCTAAACTGCCCTTTTATTTTTGAAGATAGCGACAGATCCACAATGAAGCTACGGGCTGGGCTAAAAACAGACAAAAAGAAGCAATAGTCGAAGGATATCATTGACTCACTACTACAACTTACTCATATAGTGAGGTGGATTCCTTGTGCAATATTTCTTCAAAACAGATAACAAAGATGACGAATCACTTGATGTTTGTTGCTGTGAACAATACTCGGAACAGATATCCATACGAGAAGATGGCGCATATGAATGTGGTTCCTTTGACTCTTTCTGCATCTTTATCTTCTTCATCCTTTCGTTCTTTAATTGATATAATTATTTATAAAGGAACTACAATGCTTTACATATTTGCGTTAATTTAACCTACTATCAAAATTATCACCGTCTGCTTTTAGGGCTGTATTTGCGTAAGGCTAAAAAAAGAGAAAAGCTCAAACACGCTTAATATCAAACAAAAACATTTTACCGAAAAAATAAAAAGACATTATACTTGTTGTTTGTCCTCTTCTGCAATTATCTTTGCTTGTCTTGGGCGTTTGTATGAATGATCATCTTTCATATCCGTATTTTCTACACATCTGTCATACGCACGTGCCTTCAGTTTCGATTCATATAAATTTTCTTTTGCATTCACGAGATTGTTGGTAACCTGTCAAATAAGTTGGTCTACATATATATATATATACATACATACATACACACAAATTTAACGACAATAATTAATGTACCTGTGTATCAAGTCTTTAAAAAACAAGGTAGTATCTATGCGTTGAAATGAACGTTCCGCAGTATCATTCAGCTTATAGGCTCTGTCTTTTGCTTTTTTAAGAGTTGATGTAGACGAGATTATTGAATGCAGATGATTCCTATATTTGCCAAGAATTTCGTCACGATCATCTGATGTCAAATGCACACACACTTTTGCTAAATATTCAAGACAACCCATATAACCCCAGGCTTCAATCTCTGTGTTACTGAAATAAGAAGAAATCCCGCTTGAAATATTATAAAAAAAAATTTTTAGAATAATTTAGTCACTAAGAAATATGATATTGTAAGCACTAACTATAAGAAAATCACGGTGATGGCATTGACAAAAATGAGTTTCTGGAAAGAGTCTTTTGCAACGAATCTATCTAAGGGATTACAATTGTAATGAGTCCTAGTAGGCGTTGCAAGTCCCTCTTCCAAAGTTTGGCTGCAAGAGTCCAATATAAATATAAATAAATGGCCAGGTCACATACAGGCATAGGTATATTTTGTGATGCCATTAGAGCGTGGAGATAGAAGCGAATATAGACGCGTTTAGAAAATTGTCATTTAAAAAATTTTCTTTGGTGTAACTATATGTTAACTAACATGGCCGAATTAAACTTCAGAAAGATAATCTATGACAATTATTCGTTAACATATGAAAGGGAAGTAAATTCAATACGAAAATACTAATTGAATAAGAAAGGTTGCTAACCATAATCTAACAATGACATCTAATCTCCTTCAAATTTTAATGCACCTATTATTAATATTCTAATAAAGTCTCAAAATTTCGTTTCATTCAAAACATTGTTGCTAAGAAAACAATAATATACTATTTTTTTGGTTATAATAAAATATAAGGCAAATAAAAAAGGAATTCTTTGAAGCACAAAATACTCAATAATATTGGAACTTGCTAAATTATAGCGTGGAAAATTTGTACTAGGCTGAATGTCATTTTCAATAAATCATCTAAAAAAAATTTCTTTGAGCTTATAAAGAGAAACCGTGCTTTCACATATTTAATATTTAAAATAAATTTTATTGTGTGGCATCTTTGTGAACTAAATTTTAATCTTTGCTACGCCTTGCGATCGAAACATTGCGGGGTATTAAGACATGTAGAGAAACATAAATTGTTTCAAATAAAACATTCCAATCCTTAACGAAAAGTTTATAATTCATTTCGGTGACTAAAAATAATAAATGATCAAATATGAAATTATACATTGGCTATAATACTTTTTTAGAAATCCTCTACTTGATACGAATTTGAATGTCGCTAATTTTTCAAATGCGTGACGCAAGACTCGAATTGATTGTCAATATCACAAGCAATCTGTTATAATGTTTAGTAATCGATTGAAAATCATTATTAAACTAAAATGAATTCTTTGCAGATTCAAAAAATAGCAAACAAAGCAAAAATAATTCATTCAAGGAAACATTTTAATCAAAATGTTTACATTTATTGGAAGAATGAAATTTGAAACGTTTCGCACGTTTCGTAAATTGATTAATTTCTCGCTAATAAACCAATAAAAAATATATGTCGCACTTGTATGACATAATCGCGTGTAATTCGAAATTTGCCCAAATTTATTAACCTTTTCCGGATCAAATTTACAAAATCATTTACACAAAAATTAAAGTATATAAAATGGCATAAAAAATCCCTCTGGATTTTTTTTTTTTTTTTTTTCATTTCACGTCTACGAACTTTTTTTAAAAAAAAAAACACTCGGAATTCTTTGTTTCTTGTAAAAATTTTAAAACATACTTTTCTTTTATTATTATTCTTTGAGCGTAACCAAATATGGCTGAACCAACGTAAGTTTTATATTATGGAAGGACTAACTTTTCTCAAATTTTAAAATAAAGAAATAACATGATTATTAGTATAAATTTGCTTGTGCTAAACGCGTATGATTAAGTAATCCTGTGTAAACATATGTACCTTTAATCGCTTTCATGCTGGCCACAAAAAAAAAAAATATCTACTGCGCCACATCCGGGCCACTAATTATTTCATTATTTATTAAATGTAGTGGAGACTTTGGTCTTATCGGCCTTGCCGTTATGGTATGAAAGTTAAATTCTATCTAATTAATAAACTAAGTTTGATTATTTTATTGATTTTGATCGATTTTAATTTTAGGGTCAAAATCTTATCCTTAACGTTAATGATCATGGATATACCGTAGTTGCTTTTAACAGAACTGTATCCAAGGTGGATCGCTTCTTAAAAAATGAAGCCAAAGGTAATAACATTGACAAGTTATTTGATCCGACACCTTATCATTTTATAATGATAATTATTTTCACATATTATAGGTACCAATATTATTGGCGCTAGTTCCATTGAAGATCTTGTTAAAAAATTGAAAAAACCGCGAAAGATTATGCTTTTGGTTAAAGCTGGATCTGCTGTTGATGATTTTATTGAGCAAATCATTCCTTACCTTAGTATAGGAGATATAATTATTGATGGTGGTAACTCGCATTTCCCAGATACAATTCGTCGATGCAAATATTTGGAAGAAAAAAAATTATTGTTTATCGGCTGTGGTGTATCTGGTGGTGAAGATGGGGCTCGCTATGGTCCTTCTCTTATGCCTGGAGGTTCTAAAGCCGCATGGTAAATAAGTTTAATAATGAATCTTCATTTTTTTATTAAGTTCTTAAAAAGAAAATTAATTGTCAACCAATTTTATTAATAGGGAACATGTAAAACCCATTTTCCAATCTATTGCTGCCAAAGTTAATAATGAGCCATGTTGCGATTGGGTTGGTGAAACCGGTGCTGGTCATTATGTTAAAATGGTCCACAATGGTATCGAATATGGTGATATGCAACTTATTTGCGAAGCATATCATTTAATGAAAGAAGGACTCGGTCTCAGTAATGATGATATTGCTGATGTCTTTGTAGATTGGAACAAAGGCGAACTGGACTCCTTCTTGATTGACATCACTAAAGATATCATGAGATTTAAGGATGAAGATGGTAAGCCCTTAGTTGAAAAAATTAAGGACACAGCTGGTCAAGTATGTATCTATATAATAAAAATTATAAATTAAAATAATCCAATAACCAACTTTTTCTATCGGTTCTCTTTTTTGTTTCTATAGAAAGGTACTGGAAAGTGGACTGCTATATCATCCCTTGATCTCGGTGTCCCAGTTACATTAATTGGTGAAGCTGTCTACTCTCGTACGCTTTCAGCATTAAAAGACGAACGTGTGCGTGCAAGTAAAATCTTAAAAGGACCACATAATACTAAATTCAGTGGTGACAAGCAGAAATTTGTTAAACAATTAGGCCAAGCATTATATGCTTCAAAATTAATATCTTATACTCAAGGTTTTATGTTAATGCGCGAAGCTGCTAAAGATAATAACTGGGATTTGAATAATGCTGGTATTGCTTTAATGTGGCGTGGTGGTTGTATTATTAGAAGGTAATAATAAATTTTTTTCAAATTGATTAAAATAAATATATCTCTAAATTAAAACAATTCTTTTATATATAGTGCTTTCCTTGGTGACATTAAGAATGCTTATACTAACAATCCAAAACTTGAGAATTTACTTTTTGATCCGTTCTTCAAGAAGGCTATTGAAGATGCTCAAGATTCTTGGCGATATGTTATTTCACAAGCAGTTCTTCTTGGTATTCCAACTCCAGCATTTTCAACTGCTTTGGCTTTCTATGATGGTTATAGACATGAAAAATTGCCAGCTAATCTTTTGCAGGTAATGTTGAAACGATTTATTTATACCTAATTATTTAAAACATTTTAATTAATCAATTTTCAAATTTTTAGGCTCAGAGAGATTATTTCGGTGCCCATACTTTCAGGTTCCTTGACGAATATGCTGATGAAGATCATCCTAAAGATACCGATGTACATGTTAACTGGACTGGACATGGCGGCAACGTGAGCTCCTCAGCGTATCTTGCTTAAATGCATCAAACAGAAATTTTAATACCCTTTGCCTAAATCGGACAAACTAAGAAGATTAATTTATTATGTATGATATTTAAACTTAAATTATTAACTATAAATAAATCAATATGTTAAATATGAAATCTATAGTGCCTTTATATAAATTGTTAAGTTATAATGTATTATTATTTACTAACAGAATATTATTTTTATATTTAAAGTTAAATAAAGTGTTTATTTATTTTGATTAAATAAAATTGTTTTTCCACCATATTTCTCTTGAATAAAAAAACGAGATACAATAGAAGAGATTTCAGATACACTACCCTCCAAAAAGTATCCGGTCAAGCTTTTTTTAAATTTCTCAAGATCGGATATATTAACTAAATAAAATT